TTGTAATCGTAATCGTAATCGATCTGATAGAATAGCAGCTCATTAATATTTATTATGATTTCCTCCTCTACTAAAAGACAGGACAAGTCTGGCGATCGGCTCAGCTGGTGCCCAGTGGATGGTCATCCTAAGTCCTCTCCCTACCCAGTTCGCCACGTGGCTTCTTCACATGCTGTTCATAATTCCCTCACTCCGCATCCACAAAATGGGCACCACACCACTAATTTAGTAATTCCCTTATCTTATCTCCTTAATTGGGTGCTTATCTATAAGATATATGAAGCCAAAACAAGTGTTTAGTTTGCAGGGATTCAAATTTCCAGCCCGCAGAGGGTTTATCGGAAGGGTACTTTAGGCAATTCACATTTAAATAAAACTGTGTGTTTCACCTCCAACACATTCTGCCGGTGGACCGGGCCAGTTTATTATATAGTCGGACCGGGCTGTTGCCCCCTGAAGTATCCGGCCCAAACTCTTCCCCCTTGACGTAGTCGGCCCAAAGACTGCTGGTGAAATGCTTCCATCGGAATCTCACGGAACCCATATTCAGCTGCCGTGGTGCTATATTTTAGCTGGAAAAATGGGCTTATTTCCTATGTGGCTCATGAATTAATCGGGCCAGAGTTTTGGCAAAACCCATGGCAAATGACTACACACAGCCGGGCTGATACATTCCAAATTCACCTAACTAAATTGGGCCTGTGGGGGTTTTTTTATTTTGTTTGGGCGGCTTCCTAAATGCTTTGGCAGCGAGTTCCAACTCTAAACTCTAGAGTACAATAATTTAAAAGGAATCTATAAGATATATGAAGCCAAAACAAGTGTTTAGTTTGCAGGGATTCAAATTTCCAGCCCGCAGAGGGTTTGTCGGAAGGGTACTTTAGGCAATTCACATTTAAATAAAACTGTGCGTTTCACCTCCAACACATTCTGCCGGTGGACCGGGCCAGTTTATTATATAGTCGGACCGGGCTGTTGCCCCCTTAAGTATCCGGCCCAAACTCTTCCCCCTTGACGTAGTCGGCCCAAAGACTGCTGGTGAAATGCTTCCATCGGAATCTCACGGAACCCATATTCAGCTGCCGTGGTGCTATATTTTAGCTGGAAAAATGGGCTTATTTCCTATGTGGCTCATGAATTAATCGGGCCAGAGTTTTGGCAAAACCCATGGCAAATGACTACACACAGCCGGGCTGATACATTCCAAATTCACCTAACTAAATTGGGCCTGTGGGGGTTTTTTATTTTGTTTGGGCGGCTTCCTAAATGCTTTGGCAGCGAGTTCCAACTCTAAACTCTAGAGTACAATAATTTAAAAGGAATTACCAAATAGCAAGGAAGGTGACAGTAAACAAAGAGCAAAATTATATGATGCTCAAAATATGGTTACATGAAGGACCACCTCAAAAGGATAATAACCTTTCAAAAAATATTTGCGTTCACATATCCATTACGCGGTTAGATAATTCGAAATTAGAGCGAGGTGGACCATTACTAACATTAATCCGATTATATTAATAATACCCTACGCTACTTAGTCATCTAAAATCGGGAACAACTTAACCAAGAAGAGATCAAGACGATTCTCCACGTTGTTCCAAGGTCCGAATGTGACCAAGACCCTATATGGCGACTCACCAATCCTGTTGAGTAGTGGAATGTACTCCACATCTTCCATCTCATCAGGACCAACAACAGCAGACATGACTCGCCGTAAGTAAGCTGATGGAAATACGACCTCAAGATCGGTGATGAAATCTTCAATTGTCAAGTGAAGCAAGTATATGTTGGAGTCGGCATGCCAAGATCTCCTCAATTCTGTGACCCAGCCATTGAAAATGTATGACTTGCCCTGGTACAAGCCAAAACATAAGGAGTTCAAAATAAGACCAAATTAGATGCAAATTCTTTAGATAAAATATAGATTCCGGATAGATAAAATACATGTTATCTGATTCACCTGATTAGCAACATCCAATTGCATAGGGATAAGATCAATCGTTTCTACATTGTCCCAAATTCTTGCGGCAACTTCATATCGCAGATTTGAAACGAAGTCTCCCATGGAAAAGAATCTATAATTTAGATTAGTAGCAATATTAGCAACTCTATCAACAAATGTTAGAGCTGTAAAACTAATCAACTAATTATGTAAGCCCGAATATACACAAACAATAGCAACCCAATACATGAATGTGTCAATACAAACATACAACTCTATCAACAAATGTTAGAGCTGTAAAACTAATCAACTAATTATGTAAACCCGAATATACACAAACAATAGCAACCCAATACATGAATGTGTCAATACAAACATACAAAGTTTCCTTGGAGTATCGAACTAAAAAAAAAAAAATATTCTGGATGATAAGATTGTAGTAGATCTGGAGAAACCTAATTTGAAGGCCAGCAAGCGAATGTAATTGATGAGTGGTCTGGAAAAATTGGTTGAAGTTCTTGATGAGAGGAAAGGGGAGATTTTGCCGAGGTAGGGTTTTAGAAATTACCTTTTAGAGATGCTGAGATAGGGCTAACGTCGATCAGGCAGAGAGAAGGCCTGGAAAATGAGTGCATGCACTGGAATGGGTTTCCAGTTGCTTTGTTGGCCGGAGAGTGAGCAGAGCAGAAGAAGGCGTCAGGGAGGAAGGGAGTTGAAACGTCTTCGGCTGGGTCTTTACGCGGTAAGATTTTAGAACTTACCTCCTGGAGATGTAGAGATGGTACTAATATCGGTCAGTCAGGGAGGGCTGGATCATGAGTGCATGCAATGGCTTGGTTGGACTGTTGGTCTTCTCGCCGGCGAGTGAATAGTGACGTCGTGCTTCGGTGCCGTTGTTGGAGTCCGCGCGAGTGGTGATTCGACGCTAGGGTTGTTCGACGAGGGAGAATGAGCGAGCGTTGTGGGAGGGTCGGGGTTTGCGGCGGGAGCGGGAAGCAGGAGAAGCAGAAGATGGCGGGTTGGGGATGTGGATGGTCAGGTTTCTGTGGAGGGACTGGAGGGTAGGTGAGAGCGATGGAGGAGGGAAAGGAAGAAGGGAGTTAAACCGTCTTCGGGTGGGTGGGAGGTTTTTATTGTTTTGATTTATTTTGGTTTTTATATTTGTTTGATCCAAACGTGGCCATGACTGTCCATTTGGTTTGGGTTTTTTGGGTTTTAACCAAACACAAACCAATTGGAAAGCAAATTGTTTCGTTTGGTTTGTTTTAAACCAATAAGCAACTTAATGGTTTTGGTTTGGTTAAAACTGAAAAACCAATAGAAACCATGAAGAATACAATTATTCATCCGCAAGGTTTTTTTTTCTTTTTTTTGTTTCTTTTGACACGCATACCAACCAATAATTTGTGCTGACCATACAGATATGTGTTTGTCAAATCATAATAAATAAATGAAAACCTAACTATTTTTTTTTTACTCAATGATACGAGTGATTTACTGGCTAAAAAATTCACTACTTCAAAATGGTATTCATTTATTTTATCAAGCAGCCAACCCTAGCGATGCATTGTCAATTGATTCACGTTTATGAGAAAATGACACACCTAATTTCAACTCCTCCTCCCAACCAACAACCCGCTGCTGAAAGGGATCGTCTTAAGCAACATAGTCCTGCGAATCATTTGGTAGTACATTAAATCAACTTTGAAGGTCTTACAAAATCATAATAATTTGATCTGTATATTTCACTTGCAGGAATACTCACCATTCAAGCACAAGTGCACCATATTGATCGCTTGAGTTCCAAAAACCCTTTACTCTGAGAAAAACGTCATTGGGATAGATGTATTGCACCATCCCAATTAAATCTTCCCGTGTGTTAAATGTAAATTACCGAAAGAGAATTTTCTGTTATTATAGTTTAATTGATCAATAAAAAACAAATGGTAAATGAATTGGCAGAAATGTGGCAAAGCCCATTTCACTCTCCCAACTTTTATTGCCGCCAGTGTAAAGGGAAAAGTTCAGTTTAGGATATGTGCTTTTGTCTGTATACTTTTCTAAGGTAGATAGCTATATAAATGGACCCATTCTACATAACCAAGTGAAAAAGATATTTCACATGGGCCTGTTACACATGACGGTCCATCTATAGCCCACAACAAGATCTCATATGTGAATGTCGTTTCCCCTAATCAACAGTGGAGGAGGTTTCGGCCCACATGGTTTTTTTGGTTTTTTGGGCGGCTTCCTAGCATCATTGGAATCGAGCTCCAACCCTAGAGGCTAGAGTACAACACACAATTCTTGGCGCTACCATTGCCTTTCACCGGCGCGTGAATTGCGACCACAGTCTCGGATCCCCGTCGGCAGCGAACGCTTATTTGAGGATGGCGCTAGCTAACCGGTCTTCCCCATGCAGAACACCTGCCCCAAATATCCATCTCCCCATATCCCTAATTGGAAGAAGCAACCAATTGCCCAGACTACATCCGCCCCGAACATTGCAATTCAATTCAACCGGGTGCAGGTTGGAAGATGGTTTCCACCAGGAATCAGACGTCACGCAGTCAAAGCGTCAGCTCCGACTTTGGCCCTCTTTGCGGCGGCAGCGGGGAATAAAAGGAACCGAGCTGCTTTTCAATCCCAGGTACTCATTGAACATGGACGGTAAGGTATACTGGCTCTGTTTTGGCGCGTTGTCGGTCCTTGGGAAATTTGCATTGGTTTATAACTGACATATTTGAATTTTCCCCCCTATTTCCATCTCCAGCTCTACACCCTTTGAATAAGCAGTTCACGTTGGTGTAGCAGTTACCTTCCGAAGATGTTGCTGTTGCTTGCCAACGTGGGGCAATTGGTAACTGCCCCAACCGGAATCCATATATATATACCTTCTCTAAATCTCTCGGCTCATTTTATATTTCAGTTGACGCTTGCTAAATCCCGCCAGGTAACTTCTTCTTCACAGAATTTTTTTCCCACTTCATTCCTCCATCAAACCAACCTCCTATTCCTACACTATAACTAAGTGCTTATGTACTTTGGTAGCTACACCATGGCATTCAATGGCATCCGAGATCTTGAGTCCGAGAAACAACTCTGGTCAGGGCATTGTCGCGTCTCCAGGGCATGGTTGGGTGTTAATGTGACGACTGATAAAGTCCTGCATTTCGATCTCATCTTGATGGATGCCAAGGTACGGCTGTGTTTAACATTAACTTTAGATGCGTCACATATCATCCAGACTGTCTTATTTCGTCTCTATAAATCCCCAGGGGAATGATATATGGGTGCATATCCCACCAGTTCTGCAAGAACACTTCAAACGATTGCTGAAGGAACAGCAGGTCTACACCATTAAAAACTTTGAGCTTCATACGACCCAACTGAAATATCGCCCCATTGCCAATACATATATCATGTCGTTCTCCCGGAAGACTACTGTTGAGCATGTTCCCGATGTCCCTTCCATTCCTGCCTTCAAATTCACATTCCTCAAAGCAAGTGAGATGGCATCTAAATTGAATGATGTGGTCGTCCTCTCAGGTTACAACCGCAATTTATTCAGTGGTTGATTTCCTTTCTGTGCTTGCTTGCGTCTAATTTCCATTAACTTTTCTTTGTATAGATGTTGTTGGGCAAGTAGTACAGCACTCGGATGCCATAAAGACAACGAATCTTGCTAGGAAAACCATTCGGAAGGAGCTGCAACTGAAACTAATTGAGTAAGAGCTATCTTTGCTACGGTTGTATCAATATGAATTTGGAGTTACATGAATAATTGATGATTGCTTGGGTACAACGTTCTACTTTTTCTAGGCAGTATAAATTTAGATCATAGGTTATTCAGCCTCTGATCATATACATTTATATGGGTCACTTCATTGTATGGTGTTCATTTACACCCATGCTTAGACATTACTTATGTTGTCAAACCTAAGCCTACGTTGTTTTACAGAGGGGATGTTGTCAAAGTTATTATCTGGGGAAGAGTTGTAGCTGACTTTGATAAGTTGATCAAGCCTGGTGATGATGAACAAGTCATATTGGTTGTAACTGCGGTTTCTGTCAAACCCTTCCTAGGTACAACATCTGTTTACCCTGTGCTGGATTTGAGATATATGGGTGACTGATCAGTGGGAACAACATCAATTTAATTTTTCAGGTGAACTTTGCTTTAATTCTTCGGGTTCAACAGTGTTGTATCCCAACCTTGATATCCCAGAAGTAAAGGCTTTCACAACCAGGTTTTCTCTTTTAATTGCTAATGAATATCCGAACCATAGTGTTGAACCAATGTCAAATTAACATATTTATTTCTTTTGAAAAAAGGAATGTGCAACCACAGCAGCCCGTGTTTGTTGAATTACCCCCACCCCCCTTCATCCCTAATATTACTCTATCGGAATTGCTGGAACTTCAATTGGACCCTGATAATGAGGTTAGATTATGGTGTTTTCTCTCATTTTACATTATGGTGTTTTCTCTAATCTATACGCCAATATTAATTCACTTCGACTACAACTAGGAATGTGTGTATGCTGTTGAATGCAAAGTCGTAGGAATCAAGCCATTTTGGTGTTATATGGGCTGTCCAACCTGTGTCCTTAAACCCATAGAAAGACATGGAGAATACTACTGTGTCAAATGCAACAAGCCAACACCAACAAGAGCTGCCAAGTAAATACCATATCATTGAGTTCCAAAAGAAATTCCATCAGATCCTTGAATTATAAACTTCATTGAATATGCTGAATTTCCATTTCGTGCCTTTCCAGATACCGTATACAGCTTGATGTTGAAAGCAGTTCTGTGCCAGCGACCTTTATCATCTTTGAGTATGAAGCAAAACGCTTCTTTGGTGTCAGTGGGAATGATCTTTTCAATAGGACGGGTCAGAACAATGAGGTACCCCCTCCAGATCTACTCCAAATAGTTGGTGAGACCAAACTATTCCATGTCAAGTTCAAGATAAATCTCTACAGTGATTCACAAGCTGATTTCACCGTGTTAAAAGTCTTGGAACCCACAGAACAGGTGAGCTACTCATTAGATCTGCCAGACTTATAACTCTACTATACTGTTTTGTGTACATTGACTCTGACATATGTTTGCATGACCTGATTCGTACTTGATTAATAATAGCTTTCATTGAATCCTCTTAAAGTCCTACTATTAATTGTTTCTACTTTCCACCATTTTTTAAAATTTCAGTCTCCAGCTTCTGTTCTTCACAAAGATGCCTCATGTTCATCAATTACCAGTGGAGTTGAGTCCTCCCAAACTTCATCGCAACCTTCCATCCCAGATCCAGCACATCAAGAGGCAGACAAAGGCGTTTCTGTTGATATCACACCTGATAATAAACTGAAACGAAAGATGCACCCAGAGTGATATCTGAGGGGTGGAACGTTATGTAACCAATACCCTATTAGTAGTTCCACTTTGATTCTGTAGAAGAACAGTTCAATTTCCTTTTGTTGCTAGACTGCTGGGTGTTTGTCGAACCTGTTTATTGGTTTTCCTTAGTTCCTGTTTATTGGTTTTCCTTATTTTCATCATGCCTTTCTTACATGGTTTCCCTATCCTATGTTTTCATCTCAGCATCCATTACATGCTCATACAATGGGCCCCTTTATCCCGCACTCTCTTAAACCAGCAAATTCATTATCAAATTTCAAATGAAACAGATTGAATGACATTTCAGAGTTCAATCCAGTACAGTTAAACAACTTGGACATCACCAAAGATCCATTTCATTTTGGAGTATAAGGAAAAGAAATGTTAATAATTACTAATCCAACTCTGACCAGGTAATTAGCATCAATGAAAGGATCATTGGCTGCTTCCATTTTCACATCATGCCGAGATCAATGTTGCTATGTGCAGAACCAGACTTATGATTCGACCAACCCCTGCATTAGACCATTCACACCATTAGTCAGAATCCAGACAAGTCTTAGGGTAAAAAATGTTAATAGTTCCTAAGCCGATGCTTACTAGGTATTGCTACTTTCGCTTGCCAATATGGCCTGTCATTTTCCTATTAAAATATATTATAAATACAAATAATAAGTCATTAACTGCCATGATCACCACGTTCTTCCACTATGCCACCTATTCTCAAGGTTAAACCAACTTCCTTCCCTGCAAGTCTATATAAAGAACATTTCCAGCACGTGAAAAGGTTTGCTGCCATCCAAAATATTGACTCTTTTCCAGCGTGCCGTATCAGTGATGGCTCTCCGCAATTTAGCCCAATTGAACCTCCATGACAATGACCAGGCTGTTCGCGTCAGGCTCCTGCGTTTATGGCATACAATGAGGCCTGATGGTGTAACGCTTGACCAAATCCACATGTTGTTTCTCGACAACCAGGTACATTGATTTTATAAGCCTTCTATTCGTTACATGAGTGGGAAGTACGCTATTCAATTCTAAAAATACTCAAAGATTTTTTACCGTGACTTTTAGGGAACAGAGATGCAGGCCTTGGTTGATATTCTTAATGTTCAGTTGTTTGCTCCTCTTCTTCACGTGGGAAGGATCTATTTCTTGAGCAACTTTTTGGTCCAAGAATATGATGATACGTATAGAGTTGCTCCTGCAACTATCCGAATCCGCTTTCATAATGATACGGTGATTGAGGAACTCCAGAATGCAGCCGACATTCCAACATATAGCTTTCGATTTTTGGCTGCTAATGATCTTCCCTTTGCTGTCCATAATCATGAATATTTGTCTGGTATTTCTAATTCAAAGAAAAGCTTTATTTGGCCGGTTTGGTTTTCATATTGTGTACCTAACGATATGTTTGGGCTCAGATTTAATTGGGGAGGTTGAAACTGTTGAACAAGAAGAGGTCCTATTCGAAGATGCTGCTATTTTACGGCGAAAGGGAGTGCAGCTTAGATTGATTGAGTCAGTTGGTTGTTTTTTTTGTACAGGTTACATTTGAAGTGTGCTTACCGTGTGCAGCCAATTCATGCATCTTTTTTTTTAAAAAAATTTTAGGGGACCTATAGTTGATGTCGTCTTATGGGATGGTCTAATTGACGAATTTCAAGCTGTGACACCTAATGATCCTTTACCAGGAACAGTAGTTGTCTTCACTTCCGTTGTTGTTCGCCACTTCGCAGGTCTCTTACATGGTTTTCATTCTATTTTTCGAACCTGTTCTTTTAGTTTAGATTAGTGGTAATTGAGTTTTTAGATGTTATGGTTTTAGGGGAAGAATATTGTGTGGGCTCAACTGCAACGAAAGTATATTGCAACTTGCACTATCCTCACGTGCACCCCCTGCTTGATAAGTAAGTGTTTAACCTTTGATCAATAGAATCAATTCTTTTATTATTCTTATTCTCATGTTTTGGAATTATTGTTTTTTTATTTACAGTATAGAAAATGTCCCGCTGGCCATTGACTACACGTTGGAGGATGCTATATGGTTAAGTGAGATATGTTCCATTTCGGAACTGAATCTATATAAGACTGATTTCACCAACCAGGTAGTTTATATGTACACTCGGTCAACTCCTACAAAAATGTCAACATTCATATTTTGCTCCCATTGAATATCATAATTGTTGGTCTGGACACCATGGTTGGATGTAACTGCGTCTCTAATGCTCTAACTTGACCACTAAAATATCAATTATCCTCTTACCATTCCCAAATGTAAGCTTTCATGTGGTTCATATTGCAGGGGAATTTGTACCTTACTACTGCAACAGTCAAGGATGTTACTGTTTCTTGGTCAAGTGTGCATCTCAAGTTTATGGTGAGGCTGACTGTTGCTACTGGTCCTCATGAGGCTTCTATCATGTTTATGACTACCAAGTTCCGGTGGATAGCGAGCCGGATCATTGAGGCTACAGACAAGGAATGGAGCAATGACTTCAGGACTCTCCTAGCTGCTCTCAGGGGGAATATATTGAAGTTTATGATTGAATTTGGAGATTTCAACGGCCAGACCAATGAGTTTGATTTGGTTCTTCGCAAATTATTCTGGTAGAGGGGGTGACGTACTTGAACAGTGCTTTAATTGAAAGATAATTTATGTATAGTTGTTCCAATTATGAATGTTGAACTCTTTCCCCGAATAGATTATTACTTGGTTGCTCCATCTATCTCCTGTGGTTTTTACCAATGTGATGCTTATTATTATGTGCCAAATATTACAGCCCACTTATTCAATTTCATATATTCGTATAAACATTTTAACTGAACAATTTGTAACTTAAATTGACCAAAAAATGAATTCATTTTCATTTGATTTCATGTTCCAACGTTTGTCAAATGCGCCGCTTATGGTTAGTTTACCCGCCCAACGGGCCGGGCTTTGCGCTAGTTATATTAATATATAAAACTAATAAACGCCCAAGCTATCTATTAATGGCTTACATGGGTCGGGTGGTTCGGGTTTAGTCATTTTAATCACCCGACCCATGCACTACGGTTTAGAAAATATCAAATCCAAACCTACCTACGGTTTGTTTCTAATTGGGTTGGGTCGGGTTGGCGATATTTTTAAATAAAAACCCAACCTAACATAAAATATATAATTATTCTACAT